GCTTCCCTTGTTTCACCTCAAATTTCTTGTTTCTTGTCAAAGGTTAGGTAGTCATATATTTGCGGGTCAGTGACAGAATATTCAACTCTGTTCCATTGGCCTATGGGTCTGTTTCTAGCCCAGTACCATGATGTTTTAATTTCTACTGCTTTGTAGTACAGTATGAAGTTGGGAAGGGTGATGCCACCCATCTTCTTTCTCCCAAGGATTGCTTTAGCTATTCGTGGGGGTTTATTGTTCCAGATGAATTTCAGGGCTGGAGCGATAGCACAGCGGTAGGGCATTTGCCTTGTGCGCAGCCGGCCCGGCCCTGCCGGGATCAATTCCTCTGCCCATCTCGGAGAGCCCGACAAGCTACCAAGAGAATCTCTCCCGCACGGCAAAGCCTGGCAAGCTACCTGTGACGCATTCGATATGCCAAACACAGTAACAACAAGTCTCACGATGAAGATGTTCCTGGGCCCGCTCTGAGAAAATCGATGAACAATGGGAGGACAGTGGACAGTGCTATGAATTTCACGAGTTTTTTGTCTATTTCTTTGAAAAATGTCATGGGTATCCTGATAGGGAACACATTAAATTTGTATAGTGCTTTGGGCAGTATTGCCATTTTGATAGAATGTTAATCCTCCCTATCTCTGAGCAGGGGACGTGTCTCCATTTCCTAGTGTCCTCTTTTATTTCTTGAAGTAGTGTTTTGTAATTTTACTTGTGTAGGTCCTTCACCTCTTTGCTTAAATTGATTCCGAGGTACTTGATTTTCTGAGGTACCGTTGTGAACAGGATTGATTTTTTAATGTCTGTTTCTTCTGTTTCATTATTTGTATATAAGAAAGGCATGGACTTTTGGGTGTTGATTTTGTAGCCTGCCACTTTACTAAATCGACTTGTTGTTTCTAGGAGCTTTTCTGTAGAGCCTTTTGTGTTTTCTAAGTATAGTATCAGATCGTCTGCAAATAGTGATAGCTTGACCTCTTCCTTTCCTATCTGTATGCCCTTGATACCTTTCTCTTGCCTAACTGCAATGGCCAGGACTTCCAGTAATATACGGAATAGGAGTGGTAAAAGTGGGCAGCCTTGTCTTCTGCCCGAACTTAGAGGGAAGGCTTTTAGTTTTTCCCCATTGAGAATGATACTTGCCGTGGGCTTGTGGTAGATGGCTTTGACTATATTGAGGAAAGTTCCATCAACACCTATTCTGTGGAGAGTTTTCATCATAAATGCGTGCTGGATCTTGTCAAGTGCTTTCTCTGTGTCTATTGATACGATCACATGGGTTTTATCTTTTCTTTTTTTTTTTTGATATGACAGATTATGTTGATCGATTTCCGAATGTTAAACCATCCTTGCATCCCCGGGAGGAATCCTGCTTGGTCACGGTGTATGATCTTTCTGATGAGTTTTTGGATTCTATTTGCTAACAGTTTGTTGAGGATTTTGCATCTGTGTTCATCAGGGATCATGATCACGATCATCCTGTTGTTCATCGATTGCCTCGAGGAGGCACCAGTAACGTCTCCTTCTTCCTAGCCCTGAGATTTTAAAAGAGCCATTTCAATGCTCTTTCAGGGTTAGGAGAATGAGACCCATCATTGTTACTAGTATTTGGCATATTGAGTACGAGACGGGAAGTTTGCCAGACTCTGCCAAGTGGGCAGGATACTTTTGGTAGCCTGCCAGGTTCTCCAATGGAAAAATTAAAAAAAAATAAGACGTTGCGTGCTGCAAATGTGGCCGTGCGCTTCCGGGAGCTGGGTTTTATAGTCTCTGCTTCTTGGCTGTTGATGGAACCAACCTGGCGCTGGAGGCAGCTGGTGGGTGTGATGCCTACCTAGTAGAAAATGGGGGGGTCTGGGTGGAAAAGGCCCAGTCCCAATTTGAGCAGGCTTGGAGATCTTAGCCCTGGGAGACCCGCGTGCCTGGCTTCCTTTGCCAGTTCTTTCATGCATGAGGCTTGTCTGGAAGTGTGGAGAGTGGTTCCAGCATGGATGGCTGTGGCTGGCTCCGGAGGTCCTCAGCTGCTGGGGCTCTGTTGTGGGGGGAGGGAAACTCAACCACCCCCATCCAAGGGGCCCTGGTGAGGACAGCCAGGCGAGGGGGCAGGAGACTCTGCGCTGTTCTTTTCCGGGAGCTGGGTTTTATAGTCTCTGCATCTTGGCTGTTGATGGGACCAACCTGGCGCTGGCAGCAGCTGGCGGGTGTGACGCCTACCTACTGGAAGATGGGGGGTCTGAGTCTATCATCAGGGATATTGGCCTGTAGTTCTCTTTCTTTGTGGTATCTCTGTCTGCTTTTGGTATCAGGGTGATATTTGCTTCATAGAAACTGTTCAGAAGTGTTTTTCATAATTCAATTTCGTGGAACAGATTGGGAGTAAGTCCCCTTTAAAGATTTGGAAAACTTCACTAGTGAATCCATCTGGGCCAGGATTTGTGTGCTTGGGGAGACTTTTTATTACCGTTTCAATTTTTTGATGGTGATAGGTCTGTTCAGGTGTTCCAGGTCTTCTTGGTTCAACCTTGGGACCCTCTAAGAAACTAGGAATGTATCCATTTCCTCGAGGTTTTCGTATTTTGTGGCATAAAGCTTCTCAAAGGACTTCCTGAGGACCCTTTGAATTTCTGTAGTTTCCATTTTAATGTCTGACTTTTCATTTCTGATTCGGTTTATTAGGGTTTTCTGTCTCCCTTTCTGCATCGTTTATATAGTTGATTCCTATACATTTGAAGTTTATGGACATAATTTTATTTGCCTTATTCTTGGGGTGGGGGGTCACACCCCGCAATGTTCTAGATTACTCCTGGCTTTGCGCTCAGGAATTACTCCTGGTGGTGCTTGGGAGACTATATGGGATGCTGGGGATTGAACCGGGTCGGCTGCCTACACAGCACAAGCTCAACCCATTGTACCATGGGTATAATTTTATATAGAAAAATGTACATAATGCAATTAGTGTATTATAACAAAAATATACGATGCAGTCAAAACAAAATAAGTTGTAAGAATTTTTGATTTAATTTTCTTTATTATTAATTTTTTAATTTAGATGTTGGCTAGTAAAACACCTACATGGAGTTTAATATTTCATATATTTAAATGTATAATAATTAGCTATTAATTGTGGTTTCCATGGTAAACTATAGATTCTGAAATTTTATTTCAGTGTATTAGCAGAGTTTTGGATTGTTGGTCTTATAGCTTGTGTTATAAATTAGGTGCCGCAACGCTATTTACTGAAATGGAGTGGTACCTGCAATGAAAATACACTTTCTCATTTTTGGCATTGTATGTGACCTCTTCAATACTTTTAGATTAAGATGACGGATCATTTTTAAGAACTGTATATATATATATATACAAATAAAAATAAAATATATTTATAGAAAATAAAATCTATCTTTTTAAGCTACTTTGCTGAGCTGTTTTTCAAAATGATGACTTATTTTCTCCCACATTGAACTGGACAGAGTGCAAAACGGAAACACTCAGAAAGTTCCCAAAGAACATTCCACTAGAAGTTTATACACAGCAATATCACTATTTCCAATAGTTTGATACTCAAGCTACTCTATCTTTCTCTAGGCACTCATAGATGGATGTACCCTACATCTTCTGGTCCCTCTGCAGATATCAAGAGTAAAGAACACATGATAAGCTGTTCATTTAAATGTATATGTTTCACGGAAAAGAACTTTCAATTTCTCCTATTCTCGATAATAAAATTCCATGGTAAAATTTTTGTATTACTTGATAAATTATAATCCAGGGTAGACGGAGGATTGAAGAGACATTTCGATCATTCAGGACAAGTGGGATGCTAGAAAATTGTAGGCATATGTGTATCATATCCACATCCCTCAGTTTAACTTCAGATACAAGATGATCCCCATCACACTTGGGTTCTCAGTGGTGTCCACAGAACCTACAAGATCAGCAGCACTGCAGCTCTGTGACCTCACATCAAACCAAAACATGTGCCGCTGGCTGGTCAAGCTACCAGTGGTCCAGGATAACCTGAGCCACTCAGGTGTTGCCGAGACTTAAAAAACAATATAGATTATACTGAATAAATGAGTTCAGAGACACTGTCTACAAATTTCAGGCTCCGGGAAGACCTAATCATGTAAGCAAAGATAATGTGCAGTAGAGGATGTGACAGAGCAATACAATCTATGCCAGCACCTGTGCTTGAACAGGACCCTAACATATCGCAAAGAGAAGGGAGTGCGATAGGTGTCGGAACCAAGGCCCATCCAGGTCTGCGTCATGGGAGGTGAAAGAAATTAACAGGGAGCCACACTATGTAGCCAAGTCAATGAACCTAAAGCCAGCCCAGTCCTCAGATGGACAGAGCTGAACTCTCCAGTGAGAGTCGCGCATAGCGCAGCCTTGGGGATCCCTTAATTGTGTGTGATGCTGGGTTGCTCAGGCAGAAGTTTCCGCTGCCTATAGATTAGTACTCTCAGGTGTGGGGGGGAGGGGAAGCAAAAACACTTGGAGAAAATCTAGATGAGCACAGAGTGGAGCTATGGGGCCGGGAGCGGAAGGGTTGCTCTAGAGTGTCCCGGTATAGGGGACAGTGGGAGCAGAGACAGGACAGCTGAGTGGACTTGCAGGGTGAGACTCAGTCTGTCATGCTTCAGAATCCAGGACTTAAGCCAAGTATTTTGCAGGCATGTGTTGCTGGACCCTCAGTGGTGATTAACAATTGAGATTTTCCTAGGGATCCGGATGAAGGTGGATGAAGAAAGAACTGGATTTCTCTCACACAGAATTATTCCTCAGTGATGCTCAGAGGAAAGAATTCAAACGACATCATATGGATAGAAGTGTTTATTATTATTATTTGGCAAACCAGGATTCAACTGGGGAGGAGGTAGATGCAATGTGGTGTCCAGGGTAGAGAGCGGGTGGAGATTTCCTTCCAGGCTCCCTTTAAGCCTGGAAAGATATCCTTAAGGAGCTGCATGTGGATTCAACTAGCCGGTTGCTGACCTTATTTAGCTCTCAAACTTGCAGACGTATGGCAGTACAAACAGACAGTCATAATTTTGCCATTTTTCATAGCCTAAAGAGACAAGAAGAGGAGGGATCAGTGGAATGCTTAAAGCTGGAAACAGGAGAGAGAGGCATCACAGACAGGGCCAAAGTCCCTCCCTCTTTTTGTGTGTCATACTCCTGCTCCAAGGAGAAGGGGCTCAGAGAAAAGAGAGCTGAGAGAGACTAGGAAAGGGCTAGCGAGTCATGAATTCGGGAATGTACCCCCTTCCAAACGGTCAGGCTCAGAAACTGGTTTTGGGGATATGTCAGAAGTGGAACAGATATAAACATAGAAACCTCTTTGTTCTTACCTGTGTGGCTTAGAACAGCCCCACAGTACCCGGATTTGGTAGGGACTCCTTTCTCCCAGGCCTCATAGTTCAACACATCGCCATTACTCCACTCCCATCCACCTGCATTGGGTTTAGTCTGTGAAGACAGGACAGATGAACACCTGAGTCTCAGTTGCTCCTTTGATGCTCTGGCAGCATTTTCACTGGAATCCCTGAGTGACACCCAGCACCAGAGAATCTGTTTGGCTCTTTAAAGAGGAGATCTGGAGAGGAAATCTAAAAATTGTCTTTAAAGTCTTGATCTAGTGTGTAGGAATAAAAGTCACCAATACCACTGAGAGTAGCAGGATTGTTGAGCACAACATGTGGTGCAATCCAGGCTAGGCACTTCTGGGCCTCAAAGGTCACGCAGATTCTGAAGTGGACAGTGTACCCACCCTTCATTGATGAACAACTCAGCACATCTTAGGCACACCATCACTGGCCGCAACAAAAAAATTGACTTAGGAAATCTTCGGTACACATTGTTTGAAAAGGGGGACTGATATCAGCTAGAGATGAGGCCATGCCGCACAACGCACAGCTGCATATGGGCTCAGGGCTTCATTCTCCAGAAGAGCATCTGAATACTCTGGAATTCAGGGTGGCCTAGTCTAGTTATTGGGCAGACTAAGGGAATCAATCGGATGACTCAGGATGGCAAATGGAGCTGTAAAGTTACCCGAGAACAGAAGACGCAATCTCACCTCTGTGTTGTCATGGAGTCCAATCCAGACAAGAGAGGGTGCTGTCCCACTGTTCTTGATGAGGGAGCCCACGAAGTAGCCCTCAGACTGAGTGGACACAGACACGAGGTGTCCATTGCGACGTTTCTGGCATTCCGACTATGAGAAGAAGAAAGAGATTGGGAGAAGCTTGCATTACACTGGGACTCAAGACGTGGAGGAAGATAAGGAACTGCAGGTGTACTGTAAATTGTGCTTGTCATTCTACCTAGTATGTCCCGATGAAATGGAAGCTCCCCCGAACACCATTGTCTAAGTCCCCGCCCCCCCAAACCCCCCCACCCCCAGAAATACACATCATTCCCGTTTCAAGTACAGTTACTCACATCCGCATCCATTCAGGATTTTGCTATCTTAAAGAAAGCATAACAGTGGTTGCTATAGGCCTTGAAGCCTTTGGGGCACCTGGCTCGTGGAGACAGCTCTTCATTCCGCAGGTCTTCCCCTGACATAGGAAAATGTAAAGGAGTGACGGAGTGAAAAACGAATGGGTATTGTGTTGGAACGGTCACCACGGGGATATGCGTGAGGGCAGTACTTGAAATAGTGAACCATGACCATCCCTCAACCTTTCCAATACATTCAGAGTGTTTTCAAGAGTCACCAGAAACTTTTGATGAGAAATCCTCTGTTCCACTCTTTCACATGGATTTTATAAAATGCCCAAACTGTGCTCCCGGATCTGAGTATCCCACGACACAGGGGCTGGATGTGGGAACGCTTACCTTTCACCTGGGCTTGGAGCACCAGTTAGGAGAGCACCAGCCAAGGAACAGTGGCCATGGGAGGCAGCATCTTGTCTCACGGGAGAAGGCTGTCAGAGGCAGGGATAGAATTTTGGCCAGGCAGAAGGCAAGGAGGAGAAGCCACTTATGTGTTATCCTACATCTCCCCCTTTTTATTTTTACAAAAAACACAAAATTTGAAACCGGAAAAATTACTAGCTATTTTTGTATGGACACAGTAAGAGATAACATTGAGACTTGTAGGACAGCTCTCCTGGGAACATCTTGCCACAGACTTAGACTACAGCACTCAGGCCAGATTAATTTTTCCTAACTCTAGCAGGGTCCAAATCTAGTTATTACTTTTTGGATCATGATAACATTTGTCCATGACCAAGCTCTTAACTTATATTTAAGCATTATGGCACTTTGGCCAGGCCCATCTCGATGCCAGGGTAGCACATAGCTTACAGCTTGCCCTGGTTCCATCCAGTCCCTGGTTAGGACCCGGCTTTAGGGCACTAGGAAGTGAGGGCAGCTGAGGCTTATGTGAGAGAACAGATGTCCAGGAATGAAATATCACTGAGAGTCACATTACAAAAGCATGTCTTCTTGTGTCCATACAAAAAAGGACATTGCTCTGAAAAAACAATGCAAAAGACTTAGGTAGAAGAGAAAAACAATATCTACAAGTCAACAGAGCACAAAGAAAGAAGTTACAAATAAACACAGAGGAATGGGAGCACTGTGATGAGAGCAACCCAATAAGCCTAAACTACCTGAGGTTATGCTGGAAGGACAAAACAGTGTTATCCTACACATATGTACATATACATATATACTATATATATGTATATATATGCTTCTTTAGAGCCTGGTAAACTACCAAGAGTATCCTGCCCACAGAGAAGAGCCTTGCAAGCTACTCACGGCATATTTTATCTGCTAAAAACAGTAGCAATAATGAGTCTCATTCCCCTGACCCTGAAAGAGCTTCTAATATGGCAGCGTTGGGAAAGACGAGCAAGGAAAGGCTGCTAAAATTTCAGGGCTGGGACAAATGGAGATATTACTGGCACCCACTTGAGTAAATCGATGAACAATGAAATGACAGTGATACTGTGATTATTAAAACATTGTAATGAACATTTTTATAGACCACCCACATTAATCTTAGAAATAAAGAACTTCTTTTCATGTTTCTATAATGTTAGTTGGTGATGGCTCCTGTCTGGGTCTCCCTTTAGGAATAGCACACGTGAAAAAGTTACTCAACAAAGAACACACTGTTGTACACAAATAGCTGAATATGAGGTCTGGTAAATTGACTTAGTCCATGAAGTCTCTTAAGATACTTTCCAACTCAGGGCTGGACCAATAGCACAGTGGTAGGGCGTTTGCCTTGCATGTGGCTGATCTGGGTTCGATTCCCAGCATCCCATAAGGTTCCCCAAGCACCTTCAGGAGTGATTCCTGAGTGCAGAGCCAGGAGTAATGCCTGAGCATCAGCTGGGTGTGACCCAAAAAGCAAAAAAAAAAAAAGATATTTTCCAACTCTAAAGTTCTCCTGGGATTAGTTGAATGTATTTTCCTTATCAATTGCAATTCAATTTATACCAAATCACAAACTTATATTTCACAACTAGTATCACTTGATAACTTGACATCCCATTACTCATCGATTTGTCTCAAGATAGCACCAGCAACGCTACATTCGTCCCTGTCACGTGCTAGTGTAACCCAATGGGGTCTGCTAGTTCTAGGAACATGAACAGCCTCAAACTAATCATTTGGTGTCTTGACGAAGATGTCTGACCATCTCATAGGTGGGTGGCCACGTGATCTTTGATGTCCTGTGAAATCGAGTCAATAATAGATCTAGTCCAGCAGTCATCTCCAAATCTCATTATGTGTCCAATCCATCTGATTTTTGACACCTTGGCAAACAAGACAGCGTCCCTGATTCTTGACCATAGAGGTGAAACTCCGGATTCTTTCTCTCATTTGAGTGAACCGTGATACTGCAAGCATAGCTCTTTGGATTCCTCTTTGGGAGAACCGAATTGTGTTCTCATCCTGTTTTCGTAGTGTCCAGGTCTCTGAGGCGTAAGTTAATGCAGGAAGAACAGTGGAATCGAAGAGATGTGCCCAGAGCTAAAGTTTCTTCATCCTCTTAGCTATTTCTTCAACGCTCTTAAAGGTGCTCCGAGCTGTTCTCTTCCTCCTGTGCAACTCAGATGCCAGGTCATTCGTCATGTTGACTTCTCGACCTAGGTACATGTAACTGCTTCATTCAGAGATGTTCATTCCGTTGATAGCAAATGTAACATCAGGAATGAGACTGTTTGTCATAAACATGGTCTTCATGAGATTCAGCTGTAGTCCAACATTTCCACACTAATGGTCAAAGTCAGCCAGCATTTGTGCTGCTTGGCTGATGTTTGGTGTTATAAGAATTATGTCATCAGCGAAGCGGAGGTGTGTAGTTGCTGACCGTCTATCTTCACTCCCATTCCTTTCCATTCCAGTCATCGCATGACATTCTCAAGGGTGGCACTGAAGAGTTTTGGTGAAATGATAACTCCCTGCCAAAACCCTTTCTTGACGTCAGTGATCACCTCCCTGTAGAATGGTGAGATCCTGGTAGTGAATCCATAGTACAGCTCATGGAGAATCCTGATGTATTGAGTTTGAATGCCCTGTTTGGCTAGGGCTTCAATGACCACTTCTGTCTCAACAGAATCAAAGGCCTTCTTTAAATCGATGAATGTTAGACAGAGCAGCACCTTGAACTCCTGAGAAACCTAAATGAGCTTCTTTATCATGTGGATATCGTCGATCGTGCTGAATCCTTTTTGGAAACTGTCTTGCTCACATGGTTGTACTTCATCTAGTGTTCTGCCAGTCTTATTCAGGATGACTCGAGTGAACAGCTTGTAGACGACAGACAATAGGCAGATCGGGCGATAGTTGCCAATGTTGTGGATGTCTTCCTTTTTGTACAGTAGTATAGTTCTGCTAGTTTTCCATTGGGATGGAATCTTGCATTAAGACAGGTAGTGTGTGAAGAGCGAAGCCAGTGTATTGATTGGTACCGATGGCAGGTTCATCAGGTGTTTTGGTCTGACCTTGTCTGGTCCAGGTGTTGTTTGCTTCTTTACCAACAAAATGACGTGTAGGGTTTCTGAAGGGAGAACGCTGGGAACAAAATATCAATCCTGCGGAATTTCGTATGTGGGCAGGTGGACGTGGCTATCAAGAGATCTGAGTAGAAGTCACAGATAATCTTCTCCATTGTCCTTCTGAAGATGTGATAGATCCATCAGGACATCAGAGGGCAGTCATCTTGGTCTTGTAGTTGGTGAAGGACAGATGGGTGTTGCGAATGTTTTTCCTGGCTTCTGCCACATCTGTCAACACTGCTGCTCTTCTCTCTTTAATGTCTTCCTTTATCACTTCTCTGCACTGCTTTGCAAGCTCTGGTGTTTGCTTGCGGTTGCCTGAGGCTTTCGCCAAGCCACGTTGGCAAATGAGATCAAGAGTTTTCAAAGACAGGCATCTTTTTGTGGCTGTCTTTCTCCTGGTGTTCTTTGCACAGTCATGGAGGTGCTGAACCAGTCTATCCTATTCCTTGTCAATTCTGTCATTGACGGAATCTTCCCATGTTGCCACAATAGTGCCAAAGAGCTCCCAGTTGGCGATCGTTCTGGGAGTTCTCTTCTTAAACATTGCAGCTCTTTATTCCCACTCTGTGGAATAGAATTTTGCACGAAGGAGACGGTGGTCCAATCCCGTCTAGAATTTTGGGACAACAGCAACATCAGTCAGGCAAAACCGTCAGCTGAATATGGTGTTGTCAATTTCATTGTGGAACTGTCCACCGGAAGACCCCCCCGCCATATCCAACGGTTAGATTTTGTCTTCTGGAACTGTGAGTTATCATGGATGGTCTTGGTCGACATGATGAACTCAGACAGTCTCTCACCCTGTTCGTTTAATTCTAGGCCATGGGTCCCAATGTGGAGTTCTTCAGCTGATCTTCTTGGTCCTATCTTGGCACTAAAATCACTGACAATGATCTTTTAGAAGGTGAGGTCTTCTTTATAGAACTTCTCCAGCTCCATGTAGAACTTCTCAATTTCTCCTTCATTATAAATGGATGTTGGTGTGTAGACAAGGAAGATGGAAACTGTCGGCAATGATCCATGTCTATTCAAGTGTAATCATCCGATTCAGGTTGTTAGGCATTCAAATGAATCAATATTTTTAGCCAAGTCGTGTTGACAAGGACATCAACACCACGAATGCCTCTTTGGTTGCATGTTCCGAAGGACAGTTCTTCCCCTGTGTTGAAAATGGTGTGAAGTGATTGATGCCTTCTAGCTTTGGTCAGAACAATGATGTCGTACTTGATCTTTCACGCTTGCACCATCAGGTCTTCGATGGATGCATCCAATGCCAGTGTACATGCATTGAAAGTACAGACAGTCATTTTTGTCCTTCTTTGTTTTGGCAGTCTATTTCGGCCCTGAGATTTTTATCAGCCCCTCCTTCCTCATCCTTCTTAGTGCTGCCATATTGGTGGATCTGAAAGAGTCAGGGGAATGAGACTC